ACTCTCACTAAAATAAAAAAAAGTTAATGAGTGTAAATTATACCTAAACAAAATATCTATGCCTGTAAAAATTGCGCAGATATCACCTTAGTCATCATCATTATCTTCTTAATTACCCCCCAGTTATAGGATGAAGTGTGGATGGAGATATCAATGAGGCAAGCATAGCAGAATACTTACAATCATTGCAGCTGGGTGATTGACATATGGAGGGTCATAATAATGTTAGTTAAATTTGTATATGCTTGAATTTTTCCATAGTAAAAGTGAAAAGAAAAAAAAACATAGGCACACATACACAAATACACATACACACATTTCACAAACCAAATGAAAATATTTGGACACTGCATGAGAAATTATCCTGAGCACTGGCTTAACATCCTCCAGATTATTTGTCCAAGCGGCAGCTAAAATTGTCTAAAATTCACCAATCTCAAGGAATATATCTCTGAGGGATGGGGCAAGCCTTTATTTTAAGCAATGGTATAAAAATATAAAAAGAAACACTACTTTAACAGGTACCGAGGGAAAAAGTAGAAACGCAATAGAATGGTGAAAGTTCATGAGAATTTAGAAGTTAAAATTCTGTGATTGGGGCCTAATTCTATCACTTATCAGCTGTGTGAGCTTATGGAAGTGATTTAACCTCTCTGAGGCCAGTTTCTTCAGTAAAATGTCAATGAAAGCAGTTGCCTCATTAGACTGTTTTGAGGAACAATTGGAATAATGCATGCACAAGCTATTTGTAAAACTGAAATTGTGGTTATTATTCTCTATTTTGTGTCTTAGAAACTTTTTTGAAAAGAAATGCATAACCAGCAGCTCACTTATTCTGCAATTTGTAAAGAACTCAAAATGTTGGAAAGTGTCATCTCTTTTATCTAGTATTTTTCTTTTTGATTTTGTAGTTCACAGACAGCAGCAGTCAATTACCACCCTAGTTCCAAATGCTTTAATAAAATCATTCTGTATGCTCAGAACAAATAACAACCGGAATTGAGAAATAAATTGTTGAATAAAATATGGCAGAGCACAAAGTATTTCATAAAAGTACATAGACTGCATTCTCCAATATATCAATCTATTTATTTTGCTGAGAATGCTCAAGAGAATAGTTTCCTTTATAAAACATGCACATACATCATTGATTTTGCAAATTGTATTTCTTAGTAAGGAATAGATTATAGATTGCTTCAGGGAGATAGCTGTGATGTTGAATGACAGATGAACTTGGCATTAGAACACTTGGGCCAAGATCTTTAATTTTCTACGTGCTACGTATTTGACGTTCAATATTCACCTACCTCTCAGAGCCTTGGGTCCCTGATAATCAGAACAGTAATTATAGTTGCTACTTCAACAGCTGCTATTCAAAACGTTGTGATAAACATTTCATGAACTAATAAATCTATCTCTTCTATAATACATTTTATTGAATTTAATAAATACTAAATGCATTTATAAAGAACTCACTTTTGATTTTGTTTCCTTCTTTAGAAATTACTTTATTTTAACCTGAAAATAAATATTTTGATAAGCTATATCAAGCTTTACCAAAGAGATTCTTTATCACAAATAATAAATACCGTAATTGTGCTTAAGTCTCCATCTTCTGTGATTGTGAAATTTAAATTTTTTCTCTAGTTTTAAAATAAAATTATCTTGAGCAAAATTTTGTTGAAAATTGACTTTACCTTCTGTTCAACATACAGCCCATATATCAACAAACCCCAAGCTATAGTGTTTGTAAAATGAATACGTATATAAGGAAGTATATATAAATATGTATGTATAAAGAACAGGTATGTTTCTGCCTTTGCATGCCATTATTATGTAATTTCTCATATATAAACTAGTCACTTGACCTATGTGATATAAAAAGGCATCTGTAGGTAATATATGCATATTTGCTTTGGTCTTACAATAATCTATTACTTCAGCTCTATTCTAATTTACCTAATTAAAATGTATAATCTTGATTTTAAGGTAAAATATATTTTTATTTCAAATTAATATTAGTATCAGAAATGTACAACCATGTATACTATATACATTTTATATGTACTTTAGCCAATAAATCATATTGGTAATAAAAATAGAAATAAATATATATATATATTTTGATAAATAGTCATAAAGACACAAGATGGCAGTGCTAGTCTTTATTAGTTCTGGAAGTATGACAGTGCACTTGAAAATTTATTACATTTCTCTTGTTTTTCTTCTCAGTTTTTGTAAAGATGTTTTCACCTCCATGCATAAACTTTTATCTATTTTGTGGAATTGAAAAAAATTCTAACGGGAGTATACTATCATCGATCTATCCATTGGCAGCTACTGTGTTTAGTACTTTTGTCTTTAAAAACTTGAGTTTCCTCATCCATATTATGAACATGTTAGTCTAGATAATCTTTAACTTTCTTCCACTTCTGTATATCTATAACATTTATAAAATTAAGAATTGCACATTCAAATGAATTTTCTATATCTTAATGATTAAATGTATTCAAAAATTGAGATAAGAATGACAGCAGGCTTTCTGCTAATTCAGTGATTGAAGAAAGATCAGTGGTAACTCTGACTGCTTGTTCTTCAATGGAATTGAAATATTTAGAGTTAAAGTTATGGAACTTTTATGTAAAAAACAACTGCACTTATTATCATTTAACAGTTAATGACCATTGCCAGGCTTTCTGTAGCAAGGAATACATGACATGCCATTCCATTGTACTAAAAAGTGTCAAAGATGGGATCTGTGAACTTCCAATTTTCACATCTCCAAATAAGTCTTTCTCTATAATTCTGCTGATTTTAGAGAAACTGAGAACTATTTTCTTTTCTGGAAGTAGTATGATAACATCTTACCCATTTGTGTTTCCTGAGTTTTTTTTTGTTTTTGTTTTTGTTTTTGTTTGTTTCATTTTTGTTTTTCTTTTTCTTCTTACTCTCGTCAGGAAATTTAGGCTAAGGTTTTTTGTTTGGGCTTCTATAAGAAAACACATTAGGCTGGGGTGGTTTATAAACAACATAAATTTATTTCTTATAGTCCTGGACATTGGTAGGTCTAAGAAGAAGGTATGGGCAGATTTGGTATCTGGTGGGAAATCACTTCTTGGTTCATAGACAGCTATTTTTTTGCTGTATCCTCAGGGAAGGGGCAAGGGAACTACTTAGGGTCTCTTTTATTAGGACTCTCATCCCATTCATGAGGGCTTTACTCTTATAATCTTATCATATGTAAGAAAAATAAATATTAAAAATGAGAATCATTATAAGCTTCTGTGAAAATTTCAAGGATCCAAACATACATCTGGTTGGAATTAGTGAAGAAAAGAGGGCAGAAGTAATACTTGATGAAATCATGAATGAAAACTTCTCATAATTACCCACATTACTACCCATGCACATAAATCTAAGAAACTTTTGAAAACCATTTAATATAAAAAAGGGCAAAATATTTGGACAGAAACTTCACCAAAGACAACACATGGAATGCAAATAGATACATGAAAAAAAGCTAAGTATCATTAGTCTTGAAGAAAATGCAAATCAAGGTGCACCTGGGTGGCTCAGCAGGTTAAACATATGACTTTGGCTCAGGTCATGATCTCACAGTTTGTGGGTTTGAGCCCCACATCAGGCTCTGTGCTGACAGCTCAGAGCCTGGAGCCTGTGCAGATTCTGTGACTCCCTCTCTCTCTCTGCCCTTCCCTGCTTGTATTCTAAACAAATAAACAAACAAACATTAAAAAAAAAGAAAATGCAAATCAAAATCACAATGAGATAACATTAGACATCTATTCAATTGGTTAAAATGAAAAGAACTGACCATACCAGGTGATGTGAAGATTGTGGAGGAACTGGACTTCTCACATACCCCTGGTGAGCAAGTGAAATGATACATCTATTTTGGAAAACAATGTGGTAGTTTCTTTAAAAAGTCAAAGGTATACATACTACATGATCCTGGCATTCCACTCCTACTTATTTATCCAAGAGAAATGGAAGCATATGTCCATTCAAGACTTGTTCCCAAATTCTCATGCTCATAGCAGCTTTATTTCTAATGGACTAAAGCAGAAATAACCCAAATGTACATTATCAGGTGAATGGATAAAAACATTTAGGTGCATTGGTCCAAGATGATACCACTTGGTAATAACAAGAAATGATTTATGCAATGAATTTGATTTAGGGATGAATCTTAAAATAATTATGTTGAGTGACAAGAGACTAAAAAAAGAATACACATTATATGATTACATTTATATAACTTTTGGATAATTTTGTTTAATGATTTACTGCAGAAATAGATCAGTGGTTGCTTGAGGAGACCAGGGGATGGGAATAGAAACAGGAGAGGAAAAATGCAAAGGCATGAGAAAACTTATATGATTGATGGATATGTTTACAGTCTTCAATTGTAGAGGTTTCATGTGTCAAAATTTACAAATTATATAAAGTTGAGAAGTGTTATGTTAGCTATACCTCAACACAGCTATAAAAAAGAGTTTAAAGATCTCCTTTTTTGTCCTCTGACTGAAGAATTACTTTTAAAATTTCTGGGAGGAAAATAGATTAAAAAGTACCACAAAAACTTGTTGCCAGATTTTCTTTCAAAAAATTTTTTTTTCAAAAAAAATTTTTAATGTTTATTTATTTTTGACAGATGAGAGACAGAGCACGAGTGGGCGAAGGGCAGAGAGAGAGGGAGACACAGAATCTGAAGCAGGCTCCAGGCTCTGAGCTGTCAGCACAGACCCCGATGTGGGGCTTGAACTCACAAACCGCAAAATCAGGACCTGAGTCGAAGTCGGACGCTCAACCGACTGAGCCACCCAGGCATCCCACGAGATTTTCTTTCAATTGACAATCACTGGCACTTGACCACAAAATATTCGTATCAGTTGATGAACACATCTATTTGATGAAAAAAGAGGGAGGTGAACTAAGAAACAGACTCTTAACGATAGAGAACAAACTGATGGTTACTGAGGGCAGGTGGGTTAAATGGGTGATGTGGATTAAGGACAGCACTTGTGAAGAGCACTGGGTGTTGTATGAAGTGGTGAATCACTAAATTCTACTATTGAAACTAATATTACACTGTATGTTAACTGGAATTTAATGTTTTTAATGTTTATTCATTTTTGAGAGAAAGAGAAAGAGACAGAGCGAGTGGGGCAAGAGCAGAGAGAGGAGGGGACACAGAATTTGAAGCAGGCTCCAGGCTCTGAGCTGCCAGCACAGAGCTGGGTGCGGGGCTTGAACCCATGAACCATGAGATCATGACCTGAGCCTAAGTCAGATGCTTAACCAACTGAGCCACCCAGGCACACCAGCTAACTGGAATTTAAATAAAAACTTAAAGAAAAAAAAAAAAACCTTCAAAATGCATTTCAAATGTACCATGTGCCATACAGGAATAGAAAGAAAGAAAAAATACACAGTGTAGTAGCCCCTTTTAACGATCATTTCATTTTCCACAGTTTCAGTTACCCATGGTCAATCACAACCCAGGGGCAGATGATCCTCCTCTGACATATCGTCAGAAGTCATTAGCAGACTAATGCTACCTCACAATGCCTAAATCATTCGCCTCACTTCATCTTGTCACATAGATATTTTATCATCTCATCATAAGGGTGAGAACAGTATGCGAAGGTATTTTGACAGAAAAAGAGAGACCACATTCACATAACTATTATTAGAGTATATTGTTATAATTCTATTTTATAGTTACTGTTATTAATTTCTACTATGCCTAATTTGTAAATTAAACTTTCTCACAGGTAGGTATGCATAGGAAGAATCATAGTATATTTAGGATCAGGTACTATCTGTGGTTTCAGGCATCTCCTGGGGGTCTTGAAACAGATCCCCAGGACAAGGAGGGGCTGTTGTAAAGCTTATTCTAAGAGAGTTCACCACATCATTGTTTCACTACAGTCAGCTCTGATTTGCTACTCAGAGACCTCCCTCCTTCTTCTTCCTTTCTGTTACATACCTACAAATACTCTGCATTTTCCTGCAGGTAGCCATGCCATTTTTACCTTTTATTTTCTTCTTTGCTTTGTGATTTATACTTGTGAATCTAGCCAATTTATTCTTGCTAGTACTCTGCTTCCCAGAGTCTAAATTCAGGACCCTCCGTAGGAAGGATGGAATTAATGATGATTTGTGATTTTCCGAATTCCGGGCTGGTCAAGTCAAATTCAAGTTAGAGAAACAAAGAAATTATAAACTATAGTTCACTCTCCTTTCCTTTATCCAACGCTTCATCCCTAACAATGTGGGTCATTTTAACTTACACTAACTTGTACTTTTAGTGGGCATATAATAATAGAAAAATAGTTTACAGCTATACAATGTGTGATGTGTGTGTGTGTGTGTGTGTGTGTGTGTGTGTGTGTGAGAGAGAGAGAGAGAGAGAGAGACAGACAGACAGACATCCTCTCCTAAATCATCCTCAGAAACTTTATCACGTAAGAACTGTTATTTCTCCCATTTTACATATAAGAAACTGAGGCATGGAGAGATTAAGTAAATTGCCCAGCATGAAGAGATACAGGCAGTCTGGCTTCACAACGTGTACACATGTGGAAAATACTGAGAAGAGAAGAGCTGACGGGCGTCATTCCAGCAATTCAGAAAAGTGGAACAGATCTATTAAACAGTCCTTATTTTCTTATGTCCTATACCTAAGGACTCCACTTAAAGAATTATTTTCCAGATTGGCTTAGGATTTATAGTTCCATTATCTAGGAAGAAAGAAGAGTGAGAAGGCAGTCAGTAACTGAGAGGAAAACAAGCAAATGTCAATTTTGAAATTGTTATTTAATTCCAAATAATTAAAGATAATAGGATGAAAGATGTGTGTTTGAGTGCAAATGGCTGCTGATGTATTCTTCAAACACAAAAGCCAAAGAACAGTGATTTTCAGAAAGCCAACAAATAAATTTAGTTTCTAGCCAACTTAGAAATAAACACAAAACATTAAATTTG